AATTTTTCTAATTAAATGCTTAAATTCTTCATGTCTCAAATTCTCTCTCTGTTTAAATGGTAATAGTGCGATCGGGGCTTTTTTGCACAAAACAAATCACAGCTGTCTACACTGGCCCTTGTGCACAAAAGCTTTGCGCAAAAGGGACTTTTGCCCAAATGGGAGCAGCATAGTATTTCCGCAAAAAGCACTGATTTCTTACAGTAGGATGTCAGTGCTTTTGCGGAAATTCAAGCAGCTAGTGTAGACAGCTGGCAAGTTTTTCCAGAAAAGCAGCTGATTTTTTGGAAAAACTGGCCAGTCTAGATACAGCCCATGAGTTACACAATATGCATTCTCAAAGTATTGTGGAACAAAGTGATGCACAAAATAAGAGTGTAGATATTCAGCTATGATGGAATAAGCAGTATGTAATTTTGCCCACTTGAAATCATTTGAATACCCCAACAGTATTTCTTTTGGTATGGAAAATAAACTACTGTGGTGATATTGATTACCACTACAGCTCATTTTTCTGGTTAGTCATTGCAGTATACACCAATCTGTTTTGTATAATACTGTATTACTTTTCTGAAATGCTGGCTTTTTTTCCTCCCAGGGTTTCACTGGCTGAAGCACATGCTAAGCTGAGTTTAAGGAGGAAGGTACTTGAGGAAGATGCGTTGATTGCAATCTTGTTGTTTGAATCATCTCTCACTTTAAAACATGGTAGAATAATTAAGTTTTAACCTACAAGATATTTATTAATTGAGTACAGTTTTAGGTCTAAATATGTACAGATTCTTTATATTGGTCATTTTAAACATTAAATTTAAAACAGTTAAACTAGATCAGAGATTTAAAAGAATTTTACATTAAGGCATCTCAAATGTGGATATAAATACCTGTGGGGTTTTTTAGCATGGAAACAGCGTTTTAACTAACAGTAAATCAGCAAAGTCAACTTGACAAGGCAGACTGCTAACGAGAAAAACATCATTCTGAGAGGCAAGAATTATTTAGGCTGAACCTGTCTGAACATTTTACAGTACAGATTTCCTCCTATTTGTTCCCTATTAAAAGACAATGCATCTACTAAAGGCACTCTAGATACCATTAATGAGAGGCACCAGGAGCTTAATATTGATATCAAATTTGTGTCATACCATTGTATCTCAACAGCAATAAGCACCAGCCATTTTAGACTTAAATCAATATTTCTTCTTTATATCAAGGGCTGTGTCTAGACTGGCAAGTTTTTCCGCAAAATCATCTTCTTTTGCGGAAAAACTTGCCAGCTGTTTACACTGGCCGCTTGAATTTCCACAAAAGCACTGATGATCTCATGTAAGATTGTCAATGCTTTTGCGGAAATACAATGCTGCTCCCGTTCGGGCAAAAGTCTTTTCCCGAAAAACGTTTGTGCAAAAGGGCCAGTATAGATAGCAGAGATTTGTTTTGCGCAAAAAAGCCCCGATCGCAAAAATGGCGATCGGGGCTTTTTTGCGGAAAAGCACATCTAAATTGGCCACGGACGCTTTTCCCCAAAAAGTGCTTTTGCGGAAAAGCGTCCTGCCAATCTAAACGCGCTTTTCTGAAAATGCTTTTAACGAAAAACTTTTCCATTAAAAGCATTTCCAGAAAATCATGCCAGTGTAGACGTAGCCAATACATTTTTCAGGTTATAAGAGTGTGAGAATCTCAAGGTTTCATTTATAAACAAAATGATACATTGTAAGGTTAGGAAAAATTCTTTCACCTGGCAATTTCCTGTCATGGGTCCTGATCACGCAACCAGCTCTATGTGAATCCCTCTGATGGTAGAGCTTCTTAAAGGATCTGAGTGTCAGAACCTACATATGCAGCAGCCTAATGGGATGTTTTACCTGCCTCTTGGAATTTCAGATTTCCGGTTTGAATCTGGTTCTCTCAATAGCACTGTAAAGCTCCTATCTGATACCAAATCCCCAGAAGCATTCTTTAATTTGAGAACAAGATAGACTTTTTATAACATGTGGTTAGTGTTCTTTTTAGAAGTCATCCTTTCAAATATTACTAAGATGAAGCAGAAGCATTGGTCAAGATTTTCCAGGAGTGTATATGGAATCTATTAATATTTTCAATTCAATTCTTCTTTGTGTAGGTGCTTCTGTATTTTGTGTAGCTCCTAATGCAGTGTTTCCATATGACCTGAGTGATGAAAACTCACTGCAGCGAAGAGATGGTTATCTGATGCAGTGCCATCAGCAGCTGTTACAGTTTATTGCCACATATGGCCCTGGAACACACGTTACCAACAGTGAAGAATAAAGAACCCATTCTGAAAGCAGAGCTTGTTTCTATAGCAAATATTTCATTTTTTAATGTACACACTATTTAAAGTTTTAGAGTGATGCTACTGCAAAATGTATATACAAGTTGATTTTTATGGACTTGCTACTCCTACAGATAAAATTAAATAATATTGCATATTAAGTTTCTCAGACTAAGCATACTACTAGATTAGTGGCTTCTCCAAGCTGCGGCCTCTAAAGATAAGATGACCCAGAGAAGAAATGCAAAGTACTATACTAATGATGCCTGCTGCTGGAAATAGCAAGCAGATGAGAATGCTCATGTCCCTACAAATATTAAAATACAGTGAATCAGTGAGAAACGTGTTATGGGAATAAGACGAAAACAAATGTTTAAATAAAAAGTTTAAAATTAGGCACTGCTGCCAAATGGATTACATGAAAAAGGTAATTTGTAGAACAATTTATTCATTCTAGGAATTACATTTTACCAACTTCATCTGCATTGTGTGGGTTTTTGCTGCTAGTTTTCAATGACAATGTCAAGAGTACTTCATAAAAAAACTGAACATTTAGTATGCACATACACCTCCGTAAACTGTCTTCGTATTCCAGTAGCACTAGAGACCTTAAAGTAAAATTAGGGACCCATTCTTTATATGGTATCTAGTATTGGACAGCCCAACACTGAAAGCCTCATACTCTAAAGAGAGGATACAAAGGATAGTTGGGGAAACAGAAGTGTAAAGTAACTTGCCTACCATCACCCAGGTCAGGAATAGAACCCAAGCCTCCTGACTTTGTCCAGTGACTTCAGTCACTAAATAGCACTGCCTCCGATTAGAACAAATTGACCTATTGATGACTCATTTTGACATTTGACCACAAGAAAATAATTAAATTTCTGTACCAAAATATCTGCAGCATATGCATGTACAGCACACAAGCATGGGCTAAGGATGTTAAGTAGTGAGTAAATGACTAATCCTGTACTCAATACAATTGGTATGGAGTACATGATTAGTCGATAAGGGGACACTGTGGCTCTGCAGTTTAAATGTAGTAGGAGCTGGGAATATAGGCAGCCTGGTCCCTACCACATTTAAGTTGCAGAGCTGCAGCAGGGGAGGGTCCAGGACCTGGCACAAGCTAGGACTGAAGCAGTCCCAGCTCGCCCTGTTGCTGGACTGCTGCAGCTCTGCCTTTTAAATGTAATTCAAGCTGCAGAGACAGTGCTGGGGGGAAACCAGCTTTTAAGCTAGCTCCCCCTAGAACTGGCTCTTGCTCCCCCACCCTTGCTGCCTCTGATATAGAGGCAACAAGGATGGGGTGGGAAGCAAAATGCAAGTGGTTCACTCAGCTACCTAATAAGCCTAGGCTTATCAGATAGCGGACTACTCTTTTACATCCCTAGTATAGGCTGAGCAGGAAAAACATAAGACAGAAGGAAAAAATATAGGTATCAGAACGTTGTGAGAAATAGATTTTTTGCAGAAATAGTTACAGCTGGAATCATTGCAAGAGTGAAGGAAATAAGATGCAAAGATGGACAGTGATATTAGGGAAACCTGTAATGTTGCAGGTAAACTCAGACTAGTGAGTTTTTTATTTTATATTTAAAAAGGTTACCAGTACTCATATAGAAGTGTGGAGTTGTTAGCCAGTATGTTAATATAAATGGAAGGGAGACTTATGCAAGGGACACTGGAATAAATTGCCAAGGGAGGTTGTGGAATCATTATCACTGGAGATATTCAAGAGCAAGTTAGACAGGTATCTGTCAGGAATGATCTAGAACCGTGGTCACCAACAGGTCAATAGCAATCGACTGGTCGATCGCGAGGCATCCTGGTATCTGTCAGGAATGATCTAGAACCGTGGTCACCAACAGGTCAATAGCAATCGACTGGTCGATCGCGAGGCATCCTGTCCATCCCGCCCCCATTTCCCTCCAACCCCCGAGAAGCCCCACTACCTACCTCAAGTGAAAATGGAGTTAGTGTCAGCTTCCCAGGGATGGACAGAAGTCCCGTAGCTTAGTGCTACTTCCAGCGATTCCAGAAGTGCGCTAGCTGCTCTGCCGGGTGTACTGCAGGAGGGAGCATCGGCTCCCTGCACTACACAGGAGGGGTGAGTCAGCCCCAGGGGAGGCGTGCATGGGGGGGGTCGGCCCTGGGGGGGGGGGTCGGCCCCAGAGCAGGTGCGCATGGGACTTCCCTGCGCTGGGGGTTGGTGCTGGAGCGAGTTAGCTCGGCTCCCTGGGCAGGTGCACATTGGTTTCCCTGGGAGGGGCAGGAAGGGGGGTGGAGATCCAGGGAGGAGGCAGATTCAGGGGACTCTCTGCCTCCAGTGGCACCCCACTCCCCAGACTCAACTCCCTAGCCACAGAACTGTCCCCACTCCCCGAATGCTGTCCCCACTCCCATCCCCAGAACACTGCCCACACTCCCATCCCCAGCCACAGAACTCTGTCCCCACAAAATGTATAATTATAAATGCTTCATTTTAGTTTAAATAGCATGAATAAAAAACAGACCATTTATTTCATAACACGTGATTTTAATGTTTTATATCGCATAATTTAAAAATAAACTGTTTATCAGAGTATGTAAGTAAGGGCTGGGGATAGCAAGTGATGGACAGGAGGAGAACAGAGGGCAGGGCTTCAAGGAAGGGGTGGGGTGGTAGATCTTCACCTGTTCTGAGATTTAAAAAGTGATCTTGGGGGTAAAAAGGTTGGAGACCACTGGTCTAGAAGGTGTTTGGTCCTCCCATGAGGGTAGGGGACCTCTCAGGGTTCCTTCCAGTTCTAGTATTCTATTGAAAAAAAAAGTTGGAATTTACACCCGGTGATTGGAAGATTTTCTTGGCAAAACAGATAAATACAGGTTGCACCTCCCAAATCAGGGCCACGGACTTTGCTAGACCAAACAACCCCAAAGGTGGGAGAAATGGGGACTAGGGAAGCCTGACTGGGCCAGGCAGAATCTGAGGAGACCTGCCTGGCCAGGGAACCCCCAGCATCAGCAGGGCCAGGAAGCTGCAGAACCAGCCAGGGAACACCTGGGATTAGCAGGGCCAGGTGACGAGGGAGGCCCAGCCAAGGAACCTCTGGTTGCAGTGGAGCTGTTGGCAGCTAGTCAGTCCCCGCCAACAATCCCAGCTGAAGCAAGGCTTGCTGAGGTGGGCCTGAGCAGCAGGGGGGTTGGCAGCAGATGGACAGCCCCAGCCAAGAACCCCAAGGAGCACTCTGGGGCAGCAGGGCCAAGAGCCTTCAGGAAAGAAGCCCAGGAGCAAGGCAATCAGCAGGGGAGCACTGACCTCCCCTGGGACAGCTAAGGGTGCCAGACCAGGGAGGTCCAATGTGGCAGTACCTTGAATTTGCTTTTGAATTTTCCCTAGCATCATACAACTGGGTAGTGCCAGGATCATTTCTTGCAGATGCAGTTCTGCATTACAAAACCACCATCACATCCTACATACTTGATGTCGGGCAAAGCAGGGGACAAGATTTGAGTAGGCATGAACACAAGTACCCTCTTCACCCCTAGTGGGGGGGTCCTGTCAACTCAGACTGGGATTAGAAAAGCTTATATTGTGTTCTTCACATAAATGTCTGGCCTCTGGATAAAATACTTCAAGCATCAGAGCTGTCACTCTACCATCTTCATAAGCAAAACCATTTACTTTTAACATATTTAACATTCTTGAAACAGCAGATTAAAAGTTAACTGAAATAAAATCAGTGTTACCATGTTATTTTAGAGTTAAGATGAAGGCTGATAATTCTCTCAAAAAAAGTATTTGGCAATGTTTAAATACAATGGAGAATCTGACTTAAAAAGGTTCTGATCAATTTTCATTGTATCAATACAGATGGATAACTTTAGAATATAGTCAAAATATTAAACTATCAGACATGATGAAAATTAGCTTCTGAAACATTCAAAATATCTTGAAAACCGTGACTTCTGGCAGCTGCAAGTGTTGTCTAGTGTGCAATTAGCACCAGTTGATACCAGAAACTCTTGTTCTGAAACACAGGCATAAAAATACACTGAATTCACACTTTATGTAACCTCGCTAATTCAAAATTAAGACGGCATAAAAACAAATCAGCTGGGTAAATGGCAAAAAAATCATTAGGCCATCAAAGCAACAGCCTGTCATCCAAGACTAAAACTAAGCTTGTTAATCTCACAGGCAATTAAGCATGTGGGGAAGAAGCTATCAATACAATTTAAGAGGTTCAGGTCCAAAAAGTTAGATCCCCTCTTCTCAAAAAATTAACATGATCACATGTAACTCAAACATTTTTTCCTCTTCTATTCATAGCTTTCATGGGAAATTAGTAGGGCTGCTAAGTAATTAAAAATTGAGACGTTAAAAAGAACATTTAAAATATTTGATATTTTGTACAGTTTTCAAATATATCAATTTTAGTTACAGAGAACAGACAGAGCTCACTATGTTGGATTACAAATATTAGTACTGTAAAAAATAGTATTTCAAGTCCTCAGACAAGTACTGAAATACAATCTCTATCATGAAAATCTTAAACAAATAGTCTAGCACCGTGGTCACCAACCAGTAGATCGTGATCTACCGGTAGATCTCGGAGGCTCTAAGAGTAGCTCGAGCCCTCTCTGAACTGCACCCTGCGCAGTACATTTACATTAGATTTCCTCATTTGAGGAGCAGCTACTCACCAAGCAACAGCACAGGTGAGTAGCTGCGAGAAATGGTGGGAATTTTTTTTTAAAGTAGCAGTATAAGGATTGGGGATAGCAAGTGATGGAAAAGGGGAGAATAGAGAGGGTGGGGCTTCAAGGAAAGGGCGGGGCGGTAGATCTTGGCTTGGTCTGTCATTTAAAAAGTGATCTTGGGTGTAAAAAGGTTAGAGACCACTGGTCTAGCAGCACCTTAAAGACTAACAAAACATGTAGATAGTATCATGAGCTTCCGTAGACACAACCCAATTGTAGTATTATGTACAAAAAAATAGCTCCATTAAAAACAAAACAATGGAAAATTTTAGATCCTATAAAAGTCCACTCAGCCCCACATCTTGTGCAGCTAGTCACTCAGATAAAGTTGTTACATTTTTATATTTGCAGGAGCTAATGCTGCCTGCTTCTTGTTTACCCTGTAATCTGAAAGTGAGGACAAGCATTCACATGACATGTTGTAGCCAACACTGCTATTTGCATGTCAGATGTGCTAAGCATTCATGCCCCTTCATACTTCAACCACCATTTCAACAGGCATGCATCTATGCCAATGACTGGTTCTGCTCAATAACGATCCACAGTGGTCCAGATTGACCCACATACCACTATCAGAAGGTTGGGTTTTTTTTGGTTTTTTTTAAGTGGTTTGAGTTTTGTAGTTTATGCATCAGATTGTTGCTCTCTTAAGACTTCAGAAAGCATGCGCCACACCTTGTTCCTCTCCGATTTTGGAAGGCACCTCAGATTCTCAATCCTTAGATAGTGCACTATAGCTCTTTAGAACTCACATTGGTACCTTCTTTGCATTCTTAAATCTTAAAGAACGAACAACATGTGCTTGAGTCATTATCCAAGACTGCTACAATATAAATCTATGGCAGAAAGATGATAGAACAAGAGACATACAGTTCCTCCCCAAAGGGTTCAGTAAAATATAATTAATGCATGATTTTTACCAAGCATCAGCATAGAAGTACGTCCTGTGGAAGGCTGGCCAAAACATGAAGGAGCATAGGAATGTTTAGCATATCTGGCATAAAGCCTGGCAATACCAGCTACAAAACTGCTATGCAAAGTGCCTGTTCTCAAATGCCTTCTTTTATAATATCTCCCCATAAATGTAAACAAACATGTTTGTCTTAGTAACTGGCTAAATAAGTAGGACTGAGAAGACTATACAATTTTGGTTTTGAATACAGCTATGTAACAACCTTCCCCCCACACACATACACACACATGATTGTAGTTGAACATTCACATTAAAGAGACTGGTACAGGTGGGACCTCCCTGGTCCTGCATCCTCAGCACCTGAGTGGTCCCGAACCATGGAGTTTGCCAGACCAGGGGCAGTGCACCCTGTTGCCACCAGCCCCGCTGCTGCTAGGACAGTGCGCTCCCTGGCACCAGCCCAGCCAGGACTCTGGTTCAGCAATTCCCGTGGTTCTGTCGAACAATAGATGTTGCCAGACCAGAGCGTCCCGGATTTTAGAGGTTTAACCTGTACTTATATTAGGTGAATTGAAAGATACTATTTCTTTTATCATTTTTTACAGTGCAAATATTTGTAATAAAAATAAAGCATACACTGTCTACTTTGTATTGTGTTGTAACAAACAAATTTGAAAGTGTAGAAAGACATCCAGAAGTGTAAACAATTTCCATTAATATTTTACTGTTTAACCGTGTGATTAAAACTTCAATTAATGGTGATTAAAATAATTGATTAATTATTTTGAGTTAATCATGATTAAGCAGCAGCCCATTACATTAATTTTGAGGTGGGCCAACTCATCTGAAAGATAGGCTTTTCAAAATGTTGAGTCCTCTCCCAGAATGGCCAAAGGACCATTCTCACAACTTTTTAAAAAGGATTGATCTCCCGGACTCGTTTGTGGTGCAGGTTCGTGTATTTTAACCTAGACTTCTGCTCCCGTTAGCTGTGCTAGGTTTCATTCCTTTCAGGGCAAAGATTTATACAAAGACACCACAAAAAATTACCACCTACAAATTACCTTGAGAATTCAAACATCTTGCTGGTTGCAAAGAGTAGGACAAAGTCAGGCAGTGGCATTTCTGAATGTACTGAACTCAGCAAATCAAAGATATTTCCCACTGAAAAAAATGGCAGAAATAAAAGTGTATAAAAAGGAACAAAATGACAAGCTAAGCTACTGAGCTTATCCAAATCTTTACTGGCATCTCAGACTTCAACATTTACATCAATATATATATTCAGATGGGTAAACGGCGAAAGGAAATCATCATTATGCCAGTAACATGTTGTTCAAGATGCTAAGAAATTAATTTCAAAATGAGAACTTTTCTTCATGCAGTATGTCCAGCATGATAATCTGGACAAAACTGTATCACTTGCCTCTGGAGAAAACATTTTTAAAACTTGAATTTCAATCATTTTCTGCAATACAAAACAGCACAAATGCAATTCTTGCGCCGCCCCTCCCCCCCCTTTCATTCTCCAACTTATTTTTAGATTGCTGTACAGAAATAAAGGATCACTACAAGACAGGGGCTGGATAAAAATAGGAACAGCTCTCTAACTCCTGGCCTAATAAAGCCTTTGAGCACCAAGCCATATCCTCAGCTGGTATAAGTCATCTATAGTTACAGGAACATTATGGGAAAGCATCATAAACCTATTCTGTACAGATTTTTACCAGATGAAGATTTGACTTACTGAATTCTGATTTCTGGTACAGGTTGGACCTCCAGGGTCCAGCACCCTCAAGACCGGAGTGGTCTTGGATGAGGGCTTTTACTAGACCAGAGGTGGTCATTTGTGGCCCCCCCCCTTACTGCCAGCACCAACCCTGCCCTGCTGCCCAAGGCTTTCTAGCTCCCCTGGTAGCCCCGCTGGGCCACACACCAGGCACCCACCCACTGTCCTGCTGCACACGATGGGCTTCCCAGCCACTGTCATTGCAGCCCAACTGGGCCAGAGCACACCTCCCCCCCCTCTTGCAGCCCACTCACTAGCCTAATTACTCATCACTGTACAATGCAGTTTCCATCACTGTAGGATGGGGATGAATGGCAAGGTGAAACATGGCTATATTTGCTCTCTGGTTTCTAAAGAGAACCAGAGTTAACTCTACTAATTAATTGATAACTTGTCTATGCAATAAACTTCAGCAAATCTTCATATATCCTACAGCTGAAATACTGGAGATACAAAACAAGCATTTAAATTACCTCAGCAGTTCAGGTTAAAGCTGGTATATTTCACATAAGCAGCATTTGAAACGCCATCTTGCAATATAGGTAGTTCTGGGCAGAGCAGGAAAATGAGATGAATGCTCATGTGTGCTGTTTGAGTGGGAAAAAAATAGAAATTCATGTGGATCACTGAATTATAGAAATTTCTTGTTATTTGGTTTATTTAACAGATGTACTGGCATCTCAGATTCAGAAATATACATCAATGAAACATTCAGTTGGGTAAACGGCAAAAAAAAATCATCATTATGCCAGCAAAACAACTTCCCATCTACGATACAGCTATTACTGCCATAACTTTATGAAAACACACATACCCAGGCACTTTTCCCAGCATTTCAGCCACTTGGGAAAGTCTGTCAACATCCAGGTGCATATTTTAAAATAATTTACATATGCTAATACAGAACATACAGTCACATGGAAAAAATGACCTGACAAGCAAGGGTTTTCCTCACCACTACCTTGCTTCTTTTCCCTGCTCAAAATCAAAATGCTCTAAACAGTGAGCTGGGTCTGTATTTAACAGAAAACAAGTTTCCTAGTTGCAAGCTTGCAGAAGCTCTCCAAGCACTGTGTATTTACAACGGAGGTGGAGACACAAAACCCAACAATGTACTCACAGTCTTATTTCTTTAACAGTTCACGTAACACCTTGCTGGTTACGACGTAATAGCATGGTGGAGTCCAGAGACGAAACTTGCACTACCATCAGAAATAAATACCAATAGCTAATTTGGTCCTCATTACCTTAAAGAAAAAAGTTCAAGATATTTTGAACAGTTGACAGGAAGTCAAATTATTTGGCTTATTCAGAGTTCTGATGCAATTTCAGTTGCAGAAATTCTCACCACTCACTTGGAAAATGGGCCCAGAAGATTATCAGCAATGCAACACTTATCCCAGTGATAACTCAATATTATCCCAGAACTCTTAATGAAAATAGCTTAAGTTTAGTAATTTTTAAGTGATAAGAGGCTAAACAGAAGGATTTACTATTTTGCCCATTAAAATAATTTGTGGTTAAGTCTACATTTTTAACCATGTTCCTCTATGCAGAATTATTGATTTTACAAGGGCATGATGTTCCTAATGAGTAGTCATTGCATTTTTTTGTCCAGTTGGGTTTGACAAGTATAAAAGATGAACTAAGGTTAAAGGTTATATGTACCTCACTTTGGGAGCACACATCTCCATGTAAGCACAATGGCATAGGCCCTGAAGGTTCAATTTAAGGCCAGAACTCCTACCAAGATTATGCTGCCTCAGACTACCAAACCAATACCCTCTACAATGGAGTCCCAAGATAACTGCTGCTTTTAAGTATGTCACTATACTATGGAAAGGGCATGATCAGGAGCACTGAACATCTCTCTAACCAAACTCCCCAGTGACAAAGTGGCAATTTATCATAAGAATTAGGACACCAAGCTGCTGAAGAAAAATGATTTATGAAGACATATCAGCTGCAGTAAGGTTCTTTATCTGTCCAATTTATCATTATTTGGAACACATGAAAGACTGAAAATAACTCAAAATAATCAATAAAGACAATTTGCCAATAGTAAATATCTTATATTGCCTAACAAAATCCAGCTCAATTTCACGAAACACATGTAAACTGCAGTATAATAGTTTAGGTGTCTTAAAGCAAGCCTTAGATAAGAATTTTGTGATTTACAATCAAGTAAGTTTGCTCCAAAATAATGTGTTACTACAAATATAATTAAGTGGATTCGTCTCAGAAATGATAGTAGTTGTGCTGAGGACATAACAGGAAATGATCTCTGTTCATTTCCACAAGAAACTCTATCCTTTCAAATTAGTGTACATAACACATTAGCAGGTAGTGCCCATTTTTTTGTTTTTAACATGCAAATTACATTCACTCCATTTTAAAAACAGTCTTAAGATTAAAATTTTTATTAGAATCAGGACTTAAGCAATTTTTAAAATTGTGATTAATTTGGTATGGTATTTTATGCCATTTATTTAAATATTATGGATGTTTTTCTACAATGTTAGTTAAAAACGGCATTCAAAAATAAAACAATGGAAAAATGTAAACCCTTGAACTACGTCTACATTGGCATGATCTTGCGCAAGAACTCTTTTGCGGAAGAGTTCTTGTGCAAAAACTCTTCCAGAAGAGAGCGTCTACACTGGCAAGGATGCTCTTGCGCAAAAGCCCATGCCAGTGTAGACGCTCTCTTCTGGAAGAGTTTTTGCACAAGAACTCTTCCGCAAAAGAGTTCTTGCGCAAGAACTTGCGGCTAGTGTAGACAAGCAGCAGGTTTTGGCTCAAAAGCAGCCGCTTTTGCACAAGATCACACCAATGTAGACACAGCTTGTAGTGTAAATATACCCTCAGTTTTTCCATTCCGACAGGGAAAAGGAAGACGACACTCCTCTCATCCTAATTCCTCCACAGCCTCAACATTTAGACACTCTTATTGAAAGTAGAGCACACAAGAACTAACTCCTGTCATTACTGACAAGATCGTGCCAATGTAGACAGCCTATGAATCTACTCAGCCCTACTTCTTGTTCAGCCAATCACTCAGACGTTTACAGGATATAATACTTGCTGATTGTTTACAATTTCACCTGAAAGTGAAAACACATGTTCACGTTGCACTACTATACTTGGCATCACAAGAGGTATGTGCGCCAGATGTGCTAAAGATACATGTCACTTCACACTTAAACCACCATTCCAGAGGACATACATCCATACTGATGGGTTCTGCTTGATAACGATCAAAAGAAATGAACATGTCAGTCGATAATGCATCATCTGAGTCGGATGCCACCAGCAGAAGGCGGATTTTCTTTTTTGGTGGTTCAAATTCTGTAATTTCAACATTGGAGTGATACCCTTCTAAGGCTTCTGAAAGCATGCTCCACACTCCATCCCTCTGATTTTGAAAAGCACTGCAGTTTAAGCCCTGGGTCAATTTCTGAAACTCTTTAGAAATCTCACATGGGTACCATATCTTTGCATTTTGTCAGATCTGCGTTTGCATTTTGTCAGATCTGTGTTGGTGTTAAAACAAACATCCTGTGCTGGGTCATCATCCCAGACTGCTATAATACGAAATATATGGCATAATGAAGATAAAACAGAGCAGGAGACCTACAATTCCTGCTCCCTCAAGGTCAGTCAAAAATTTAATGAATGCATTATTTTTTTTAAACAAGTGTCATCACCATGTGAGCATGTTTTCTGGAAAGGTGGCCAAAGCATGAAGAGGCATGTGAACATTTAGCATATCTGGCACATAAGTACCTTGCAATGCCTGCTACAAAAAAAGTGCCATATAAATGCTTGTTTACAAAGTAACCTGAAAATGAAAAGAAGCAGGGAGCATTATCACCCATAAATAAACTTGTCTGTCACAGAAACTGGCTGAACAATGATCAATTTATGGACTTGTAGGCTCCAAAATTTTATATTGTTTTGAAATGCAGTTATATAACAAAAACAAAAATTTGTTTGTAAACTGCACTTTCACAATATAGAGCTTGCACTACAGTACTTGTATGAGATGAATTGAAAAGTACTATTTTATCATTTTTACAATACACTTGTAACTAATATAAAATGAGCACTGCATGCTTTGTATTCAGTGCTGTAATTGAAAAAAATACATTTGAAAACAGAAAAACAATTAAATTTCAATTGTCATCTTATTGTTTAACAGTGTTATTAAAACTGCGATTAATCGTGATTTTAATCACCACTTTGAGTTAATGATGAGATAGCTATGATTAACTGAAAACCCTAATTAGAATTTAAGTACTAGTTGAAACTATACTTTCTGGTTTCTCTGTCAGACATCACACAAGGTCCCAGACATCTATCGTTAACTGAAAGTACACTGGACACTTAGGTGGAAAACTGAAGGTCGTTTCCTGGTTAGTTTCAAAACCAATTTCCAATAAATCAAGTTGGGATTAATTCATTTTCTTCATAACCTGTAGATATTTTTGCTATACAATTTATCCTTAATGCAACAGTACAATATTTACTCTCCTTTGTGGTCAGGGATTTAACAAGTAGGTTTTGATTTTTTTGCCCAAATCAGATTTCTAATTGGAAGTCATAAAAAAGAATTGCTTTTGAAATATTTATTCTAATTGGTTGGTACGCCCAATCTCAGATAACAGATATTTGCAACCATTAAAATTTTTTTGTTTCTAATTCTATTTGCCCGTATTCATATTTTAAATATCACAAAGTGGTAGCATTACAAAAATGTGGGTGATTCATTGAAAAATATTGCACAGCTACAGAGACTTGTTTGCTAATCAATATTCTATCCCATCTGAGTTGGACTTGCTTTAGCGATACTAGGGATACAAAAGGTTAACTGGTAAGCATTACTCTCAAGAGGCTACTCTAAGCATCCGAAGCAGCCCCTGCCTACAGCACCCAGCTGCAATCAGGGGGTGGCAGTACGCTTTTTTCATGTGTGCTCTCTTAAGGGGCATTAGCTAGCTCAATGGAAGAATTCATCTAGCAACTTGCTGTGTGCAACTGGTCAGCTTAATTACATCACATAGGATGTGAAATATTTCAGTCTCCTGAGCAATGCAGTTAAGCCAACCTAATTTTGTAGTTTATCAGATCCGAAGGTGTTAAACAACACATTCAGTTAGATCAGTAAAGTATGCAAAGCTGCAATGACACTAGACGAGCACTGACTAGATATTGCTGGTATAAAGAGCTCTGAATAGTTGTATATTATCACTTGTGAACAAAGTTAAAAGGCCATTGCGGTAAAACAGGAGAGAAATGTACACCTCTCCTACCTTTGTTCCCCCCCCCCTTTTTTTTCCAGTGTACGTCTAAGACAATGTTTCTTAAACATTTTAAGACTGAGGAACACCAAAAATTTTTTTTTTAAATGGGGAACACCAAGGATTTTTTTTGGGGGGTGTGGAACAAAAAAACCCACATCGAACCAGGAGGTAGGGTAGAGAGTCCCTGGGCAGGGTGTCTGGCCAGGAGGGAGTGTGGGGGGGATCTGGGGCAGGGAGAGTGTAGAAGGGGACTTGGGGCAGGGTGTCAAAGCAAGCTGGGAATGCAGGGTCTTGGCAGGGGGAAGAGAGTGAGGGAGGATTTGGATGCAGGGTCTGGGCATGAGGGGGGATGTTTACCTGGCTTGGCATCCTGCAAGCCTCCAGGGAACATGCTCTTGTTCCTGGGAGGAAAAGGGGATAAGAGAAAGCTCAGTCCCCCTCCCCTGCAGCGGGGAACCCAGCACAGCTGCAGCACCAGGCCAGGCTTCTGGCTGGGGCAGGAGGGGAGAGGGGAGGAGAAACTCCAACCATCCCTGCCAGATTAAACTCTGCCACTTCCCCCAGAAGGCTGGGGAGGGGCACAGGGGAGAGAGAGCAGCAGCACATGGGGGGGGGAGGGCAGAAGAGCCCAAGTGGGGGAGAGCAGGAGAGCCTGAGCCGGGTTCCCCACAGGTAGCAGTTTTAAAACACCGAGGTCTGGGAGCAGCTTCTTAGGTCTGGCCACTCCTTCCTCTCTCAGCAGCAGCCGTTGTAAAAAACTGCCACCCGTACACATGGAGAAATCTGCGCAGCAGCAGAGGCCACGTGAGACCGTCCTGCGGGCTGGGGGAGAGGGAGGACAGCCACAATGGGAGCTGTCTACAGATTCTGCAGGGGGACGGGGGAAGAGAATTTTTTGTTTTCTCCACGGCACACCTGACTGCCTCATAGCACACTGGTGTGCCATGCAACAGTTTAAGAAACACTGGTCTAAGATGATGCCAGCATAGCCCCAAAGCATAGATGCAGCCTGCACGGACAACAGATATTGAACAGCTACACCGAGACTTGTTCGCTGACTAATCTTCTATCCCATCCAAGTTGGGCTTGCTTAGTCGAGACTAGAAATTTGTCCACATGCACAAAGTGTTTTCTGTTGCTATGAGAGCACTACCTGCCTGAATATTACCTGTAGTGACAGAAATATACAGTATAGTTGCAGCTATTGTTGACATCCCGAGTATCAGCTAGGGATGTGAATGTGCCAATGGTTACATGCAGCACCCCCTCTCCCGCACTGCTGCTCTCTCCTCTCCCGGCGTCTCCCACGCACACCCATCCAGCCCACCACAGCCCCCCCCCCATCAGCACAGCGCTCTCCCCCCACACTCACAGGAACTCCTCAGCCCAGCCCGCCGCGCTATCCCCGCCCAACGGCCCCGTTCCCACCAGAGCCGCGCCTCGTGCAGCTCCGGCGCGCGCTCACCCACAAGGGAAACGGAAGGAGAAACTGCCTCCGCTCTCCCATTTAAAACGTTGCCGCGCCCACGTGACAAACGCCGCTCCTGTTCCTGCCGCGTGACCGGAAGTATTGCCGGAGCGCCTGGCTGGGTTGGCCCCATTAATCAGCAGGGACTTGACTGTCTCAGACGCGCCTGCGCAGTGCCTCGCTTTGTTCTCCCCCCCCCTCCCCCTCTGCCAGCTCTGCGCATGCGCAGCCAGCCCAGTGTCCGAGCTGCGGTCGCGGAGGCACGTGTTCGGCTATCTCTGCTGTTTCCCTCGTGCCGTCTCCCAATGAGCCACAGGAGCACGCTCCGGACTTTATGTTCCCCCTCCCTTTGGTGGGGGGAAAGGAAGGTCTCCCACTTCCGGCTGCTTTCACTGATTGAAAACTGATCTGTGCAGAACTGAGGAAAACCCTTTCGACTTCCTGATTCCGAAGATGAGTTTTAATGAACCTAAAATGGTGGTGCAGCGTGTGGAGTTGTGCAAAATGGAATTACACCGTTCTTAACATTTCCCTGCCGCTCCCCTTTGGTTATTTTCCTCTTCCCACTCGGTAACATTAGAAACTGTACTAATGCAATATTAAGATCGGACTTAAAAAAGTTAGGAAATGCAAAAGTTAAGACTCTCCAGACCCCATTTTCTTGCTTATTCATCCCAGAGCTTCAGTATTCTAGGAGTAAGCTGTATCTCTTTACGG